ACCTCCCATCTTAGTGGGTAAAGAGGCTTGTGTCCTTGCTATTTCATCAAATTTAAGATTTAGAATATTCGATAAGGACTTTGATCCCATTTTCATAAACTCCAAGAGGAAGGGGAATTTAAATATGGCGGTTGAACGAAGTGCGTAAAGAATACGGGGAATATTGAAAAAAATTTTCACAAGGAAAAAGAAAGGCTTTATGAGAGATGAGTAGGGAGAATAAATCTGCTAACTCAAATAAAGTATCCAGAGTGGACTGAAGGAAGGAAGATATAGCAGAGTTACCACCAACAAGGACTCCCAAATGATGAAGTCCATCAATGGTCGTTAGTTTGAATTTATTTGAATTAGGTTCGATAGTATTGATAGTGATAAATTCTGATTTCTCAGGATCGGCCTCCTTGATGATATTCACGACTTTATTGACCTCAACATTGGATCCTCCCAGGATACCATCATCAATGTAGGGGAGACCGGGGTAAAGCGATTGACGGGGTAACAATGTTAACGCGAATAACTTTTTAACCATTGAGTATAAAGACCTTAAATTTAATGTGAAGATGTATTTATATATCTAATTTCTTACCTATGTTCATCTTTTAAAAAACTTACCTGGTTTTATATATTTTGTCAAAAAACTGCTTTTTACCCAAAAAAATATAAAAATCATTCTCTAGTATATTTTGCTTTTAGTAAAATTTACATATCCTCAGGATTCAAAATTTGGCACACATGTTCCTTAATGTATTAGCTATAAAATAAAATTTATCTGACATCTTTAGCTATATTAGAAGTCACGCAATAACGATATTTATAATATATGTCACCTAGGGGTAAAGCTGTTATGGGTAAAACGGTTAAAATATAAAATTATTCACATTCATTTTTCATTAATTCATTTATTATAATTTTTATTGTATCAATCAAATAATGAGAAATTATAAAAGATAAACCATATACAGAGATGTAAATATAATAAATGAAGCCATAAAATATAAAATAACAAATAATACTTCATTAAATTTGTCTGCTAAAAAATTTAACATACCTTATACAACGTTGAGAAGGAGATGTAAAATTGGTATTAAAAGTTCAGATCATCATAAACAAATATTTACAAATGAAGAAGAATCTAGATTGTGTGACTACATATTAGAAGCAAGTAGGTCATTTATGGGATTAACGCCTAAACAAGTAATTAAATTATATTGTTTGTTTTATATTGTATTTCATAATTTTAATCTCAATTTAAATATCAGGTAACTTTAATAAAAATGCTCAATTGAAATTATATTGTATTTCATAATTTTAATAATGCTCAATCTAAATATCAATATTAATTTGGTAACTTTAATAAAAATGCTCAATTGAAATTATATTGTATTTCATAATTTTAATAATGCTCAATCTAAATATTATTAATTTGGTAACTTTAATAAAAATGCTCAATTGAAATTATATTGTATTTCATAATTTTAATAATGCTCAATCTAAAAATCATGTGGGGCAACAATTTCAGATTTATGATATTCCAGGAGTGTTAAAAAATGAAATACCAAGGGCAGTGACATCAAATAATATATTAAATGGATTCTTAGCATGTGGCATATTTCCTTTAAACCCAAATATATTTACAGAACAAGATTATATCTGCTGTAATAATTCAAATGCTAACTCAAATATTGAATTTGAAAATAATGATGAAAATATTACAGTGACTCAAAATCTTACAGTGACTCAAAATAATGATAGTGATTTATCTATATTATTGAACGAAATTGTTCCAGATGATATTGATGAACCTTATCAAGATATGTTACCATCATGCTCAAAAAATTATAATAAAGTATTCAATCCTTCATCTATAATACCTATTCCAAAATTATTCAATATTTCATCGGATAAAATATCTAAAAAAAAGAATTCAAAAATATTAACATCTACACCTTATAAAAAAAAATTATTAATTCAGAGAAAAAAAAAGATATCAAAAAATAATTGTTTATGTGTTATTTGTAATAAAAACTATAAAAATAGTCGCGAGGGCGATGAATGGCTAAAATGTACAATGTGCCTTGAATGGGCACATTCTAAATGTGCTAATTATGATAATTATTTTACATGTCCTTATTGTATCGAATAGTTTTTAAATATAAATCATAAATAAATCTTAAATTTGTAATATTTGTTAAATAAAACAATAAATATGTGTCAAATATTATTTTAACCACTTTACCCTAGTGCTTATCCACGAAAATGAGTAGTTTTACATAACTAATCATAGCTCCTAAAATATTATAGGTAGAGGGCTACACTTTTTTTTATCTTGTAGAAGAGAGATGGGGCTACACATTGATCTATAATTTGTTGTGTTTGACTCTTGTTTAAAATTTTTATGGTAAATATGCAAAATGCCTATCGTTTTACCCCGGTCTCCCCTACCAAGAATGCAAGGATAATGAGCAGACCGAATTTATGGATTTAATGATGTTATTAATACCTAAACAAAAGAATAGGGAACCTAGAGGGTCTCCCTGTTGAATGCCCACAATGGAAGGAATTTTAAAGGTAAACTGAAGAGTGAAGGGCTGTTGATAACACGAATAAAAGAACTTAGTGTAACTGGGAAAAAGATTACTTGAGGAACTCAGGAAGGAGTTTTGGGAGAGTGTGTTGTAAGCATTAGAGAATTCAATTTTAATTAAGGATTCATTAGAGGGTAAATTTTCAAGATATAATCTAGTCATATGTACCACCGCTTCACAGCCACCAGAACTTTGAAATTGAAATATATTTTCAATTTGTAATTTATATTTTCATTTGTATTATAAACCTAAATCACGTGTTAATAATTTAAAATGTCATCGCCTATGGATATCCAAATCGTTGAAAGTGATTCAGACAATGATATTAATGAAATGGAAGATACCAGGGAAGAAAATGTTCTTAATAGCTATAATACAAATTTCCCATTCCCTAGATTTGAAATTTTTTTTAAAATAAATATAAAACCCAAAACTGGCTTCAAATTTATTTGTTTAAAATGTAAAAAAAATATTTCCATCAAATCAATCCAGTTATAACCTCAAGAAACACCAAAAGGTAAATTGCATTTTTACATTCTAGTATTTATTTTATAAGACTAGCTTTAAGGAAATGGAGAAACATTTAAATAATTTTGATACAGGCGACTCTACATCCAAAAAGACTAATTCAATTCAAACCAAATTAATTAATAATTCAAATGCCAATATTTCTCAGAAATTGACTGATTAAGTTATTATTGATTTTATAATTGATACAGTTCAGCCAATGTCCTTGGTTGATAATCCATCATTTACCATGATGATTAAAACTCTATCCCCTGGTGCAACAATTTTATGTCGCCAGACACTAATGAATATAATAGCAGATAACTTTAAAGTGATGAAAGATGCTCTAATAGTAGATCAGAGATATCTTATATATGTACCACGGCAGATAGTTGGACACATAAAAACTACTAAAATGCAACAAATTACCATAAATATTTATTTTTATAACATAAATTTTTTTATAATCAAAATAACTATATTTTAATATTTATAAATGTTGATTTTTATATATTTACTATACATAACATTATAAGCAAAAAATAAAACAAATTTGTTTCTAATTTTTTTTTAAAAAAGTAGCTAAAGCTACTTTTAAAAAATAGTAGCTAATAGCGAGCTACCTTTTTGACAAATAGCGATAGCGCGCTACTTTTAAAAGTAGCGATTAATAACTCTGCTCAGAGGTATGTGTTAAGTGGAGTTAATCAATCACGCGACACCGGCACGGGTCTTATATTTTCAGGCCTCCGCAATTTTTTTTTAGAGATTTTGGTTCGGTCCGGATTTTTAAAATATATTACATTTATTTTATTTTTATAGTTAATAATGGCGATTTAAAATATACGGTCCGGCCCGGGTATTAAAAAAAAATTTTTTAGGCCTGGCCCGGACATATTGAATTATTACTTTTATTTGATTCGTTAAAATCAGCTGCTCTCTTGTATAAAATATATTCAAACTAACTCGTTTGCTGCATATCTCCTTTTTTTAAATTAAATTCCTAATTTTACCCTAGAACAGCATTAAGTTTAACGGTTGTTTTTTATAACAAAGTTGTTAGAGAACCTCTCCCGTGGATTTTGATTTATCGGAAAGTTTCGACTTACCTTTTCTACGCTTGCTCCTGAAACTCATTCTCTAAGTGGTCTCAGAATATTTTATCATTTTTTTAAATTTAATTCTTATCCTCAATGAAATTTCCATAATTTGAAATTATTATTTTCAAAAAATTTATTATCTCAAATATTTGCTTCATTACACAGATTTTATTGCGAATCTGTCTATTCTTTTCATTATTTTAAAGCTAATTAAATTTGAATAATAAAATAATCTAGGAAAATGCAAATTAATCAAAACTTGACTTTCGTTTAAACGCAAACGCATCTCTTTTTAAAAAATTGAAAAACCCCATAAAATAAGCAATATCTAAATGATAATCTTCAAGAAATGTATTGATATGATATTCAAAAGCTAAAAATGGAAATATAATTATAAATAACTTACAATATATGAACATAATAATGATAAAAGGAAAGTAATTATTTGTAAGATAAAAAATTATCTTATTGTTTTTTTGATCGACCTCAAAAATCGACATTTTCTCATGACCTCGTGGGAAAATGTTCCATTGGTCTTATAGTCAGTCCATCCCTGGATCCTTGCAATTTACCAAAATAAGGATCGAATTCAGGATCGTCGATCTCTTTAACAACTCTGTCTTTGGATTTAATATTTTAGTTAGACAGCTCTTAAAATACAAAGTCACCCAGAAGGGGGGAAGCTCCGCATCTAATATCAAATTTGTTTCAACAAATATTAAAAAAACTCACTTAAAAAATTTGAGATTGATTATTACTCTAAGATTTTAGACTATCAAGTCTTTCAGAATAATTTAATTATTTATAGGTGGTGATGATTGTAAATTAAAAATATGGGACATACGAAATAACAAGTCTAAACCTTTGTTTGAATCTAGATACCATACAATGGGGGTCTGTGCAATTCAAAGTAGCTCATACACACCTTTCATTTACTCTTCTGGAAGGTTAAATTAATATTTTTATAAAGTAATTACATTCTATTATAGTTTTGATCAGCAATTTTGTATTTGGGATCAAAGAAATAATAAAAGTCCTATATCTTCATTAAAATTAGATAGTGGAATATGGAGGATTAAATGGAGAAGGATTATTGATAGTAATAAAAATCGAAGAGATCTTATATTACTTGCTTGCACACATGCTGGCTCTTATATATTAGAATATTCTCAAAATAGTGGTAATGTATAATAATTGAATTATTAGATTCGTTTTAAATAAACATGCTTTGATAATCGATCTTCAAAAATTTTTTCTTCTATTTATGTCATTTTATTAATAAATTATATAATGAAGTGGTTAATAATCCTCTGAAATAATTTAGAGTTAACATTAGAAGCATCAAAACCAGCATTTGACAGTTTTTTTTTAATTATTAACTTTTATGTATATCTCATATTTCATGACTTTTATTTATTTTCAACTACGGTAAAACCTATCTAATTTAGACACCTTAAATTTTTGCCCAACTTAGACAGTTGCCTAATTTATCAAGGCATTTCCTGTATATAATTTGATTGTTACTCAAAATTTTGGTCAAATTGTAGCTTGAATTATCAAGAGCCCAAATTAGATAAGCTTTACTCTATTTACATTTCCACAAAATTCCACTTAGAATAATATTAAAAATTTAACTGCCTCAATTTTGGTGATTAAACGGCTAAGGCGAGACAGGTGGTATTTTTTAAAACGGTTTCCGAGTCACTTTTCCAGCAATTTTTTTTCCAAACAAAAACTTAATTTGTCAATTAATTTTTTTGCATAATAAAATTTAAAAAAACACGTAAGAAATTTTAGACAAAGAAAATATTTTTTTATATAAATAATATTTTAATTTCCTATAAATTTATTTTCATAATAAATATACCAAAATGTATCTCGCTTCTGATGATAATAGAATGTTCGGTTTTAAAATTCATCACCAATGCCGTTATTTGACGGCTAAATAATTTTTGCTCAAATACCTTTATAAATGTAGCCTAGAAGACCTCTTAGAAAAAACGTCTTGACGGGAAGTGGATTTAATGGTTCCACGTCAATTCGGCGCAGTGTCAATTCAGCGCGTATCTAATACAGCTGCAATTTATTATAAATTTATTAGTATAAAAAAAAGATGATTAAATAGAAGTCATTGAATGTTAGTCCTATTAATTATTTCTTTGTATTTTTTTTACAAAAATACTATATGTGTAATATCAATAAAAAATTTAATAATATCAAAAAAAATTAAACGGGTATGACTAAATACTGAATTGCTAAAATAAATTGCTAAAAAGCAATTAATCATAAATCAAAATTTTATTATGTATATTTTATTTAATGAAAATTTTTAAAACTTTTTTTAAAATATACTTATATTATTTTTTTATTAAATGAAGGATACTGATTAAATATCATATAATATATAATTTTATTTTGAGTTAATATTATTATAAAAGAAATATTTTCATAGCTTATTAAAACATAAATAAATTTTTTTCAATTTTAAAAATTAACAAATATATATCCGTAAGAGGGCGTTATATGCGTAAATATGTAAGTATCATTTTAGGAAACCGGAATGGTGATTGGATAGCGCTTTTTTTATATTTGGGTATATATACATATGAAAAACCTAAAAATTAAAAAAAAAATTTAGGTTTCTTTGATGTTTAATTTATGAGTAGGTTTAGAATAGTAAAATAATGGAAATTTTCTAAGGTAAATATTGCTGGCGTTATTTATCAAAATCTCTTAATTTTTGTTTTATATGTGTATATTTACGTGCTAAGCATTATCCTAAAAATTTTTTGGAAAATATTATGATTTGACCGAATTTACTAATAATACAATTTGAAAAATGTTGATTTTCGTTTTATATATCTATAAATACGTATAAAACATAATCCCAAAAAATATTTTTAAAATATCGCTATTTGGCGGATAACCGACCCAATGACTAAATACTGAATTGCTGGCGTTTTAAATCAAAATGTCTTTTTGTTTTATATGTGTATATTTACGTGCTAAGCATTATCCTAAAAAATCTTTGAAAATAATTTGATTTGACCGATTGCCGAGCTTAAAACCAACCACTTACTAAATATTCGATTGAGCAAATTTACTAGTAATACAATTTGAAAAATGTTGATTTTCGTTTTATATATCTATAAATACGTATAAAACATAATCCCAAAAAATATTTTTAAAATATCTCTATTTAGAGGATAACCGACTCGTAGCCCACCCAATGACTAAATACTGAATTGCTGGCGTTTTAAAACAAAATATCTTTTTGTTTTATATGTGTATATTTACGTGCTAAGCATTATCCTAAAAAATTTTTTGAAAATAATTTGATTTGACCGATTGCCGAGCTCATAACCGACCACTTACTAAATATTCGATTGGCCAAATTTACTAGTAATATAATTTGAAAAATGTTGATTTTCGTTTTATTTATCTATAAATACATGTAAAACATAATCCCAAAAAATATTTTTAAAATATCGCTATTTGGCGGATAACCGACTCGTAGCCCACCCAATGACTAAATACTGAATTGCTGGCGTTTTAAATCAAAATATCTTAATTTTTGTTTTATAAGTGTATATTTACGTGCTTAGCATTATCCTAAAAAAATTTTTGAAAATAATTTGATTTGACCGATTGCCGAGCTTAAAACCGACCACTTACTAAATATTCGATTGACCAAATTTACTAGTAATATAATTTGAAAAATGTTGATTTTCGTTTTATATATCTATAAATACGTATAAAACATAATCCCAAAAAAATATTTTTAAAATATCTCTATTTGGCGGATAACCGACTCGTAGCCCACCCAATGACTAAATACTGAATTGCTGGCGTTTTAAATCAAAATATCTTAATTTTTGTTTTATAAGTGTATATTTACGTGCTTAGCATTATCCTAAAAAAAATTTTGAAAATAATTTGATTTGACCGATTGCCGAGCTTAAAACCGACCACTTACTAAATATTCGATTGACCAAATTTACTAGTAATATAATTTGAAAAATGTTGATTTTCGTTTTATATATCTATAAATACGTATAAAACATAATCCCAAAAAAATATTTTTAAAATATCTCTATTTGGCGGATAACCGACTCGTAGCCCACCCAATGACTAAATACTGAATTGCTGGCGTTTTAAATCAAAATATCTTAATTTTTGTTTTATAAGTGTATATTTACGTGCTTAGCATTATCCTAAAAAAAATTTTGAAAATAATTTGATTTGACCGATTGCCGAGCTTAAAACCGACCACTTACTAAATATTCGATTGACCAAATTTACTAGTAATATAATTTGAAAAATGTTGATTTTCGTTTTATATATCTATAAATACGTGTAAAACATAATCCCAAAAAATATTTTTAAAATATCGCTATTTGGCGGATAATCGTTTCCTTTAACCTATAATAAAATTTTAAAATATATTATTAAATATATATTTTACCAAAATAAAAACTTTGAGAACAGATCAGACATTTTAATAGCAAAAATATGATTTATAATTATAAAACAATTTTAAATTTTAACGGCTATTATTTAAAAGTATTTATTTATTTATTTGTTTATTATTTTTTATATACTTCTAACTCAAATTTTTTTATTTTTAAAATAATGCAAAATATTTTTAAATTCAGGAAAATATAATAATTTCGAATATAAATAATAAAGGAAAATAAAAAAAATATTAGAAAGAATATAATCATGGTGATGGGGTTTGCCCCTTTTTTGAATCTCAATTGCTTATCTCTTAGACAATTAAAATTATCTGAAATATTTGCACATAACACATTTTTAGAGAGTATTATAGATTTTATTTATTATATAAATATAAAAATACTTAAGCATATAGTATTGCATAAATTTTAAGTGTTAATACAAAAATTATATAAATTTATAACTAAGAATTTATAGTAAATTTGGTCAATCGAATATTTAGTAAGTGGTCGGTTTTAAGCTCGGCAATCGGTCAAATCAAATTATTTTCAAAAGATTTTTTATGATAATGCTTAGCACGTAAATATACACGTATAAAACAAAAATTAAGATATTTTGATTTAAAACGCCTGCAATTCAGTATTTAGTCATTGGGTGGGCTACGAGTCGGTTATCCGCCAAATAGCGATATTTTAAAAATATTTTTTGGGATTATGTTTTATACGTATTTATAGATATATAAAACGAAAATCAACATTTTCAAATTATATTACTAGTAAATTTGGTCAATCGAATATTTAGTAAGTGGTCGGTTTTGAGCTCGGCAATCGGTCAAATCAAATTATTTTCAAAAAATTTTTCAGGATAATGCTTAGCACGTAAATATACAAATATAAAACAAAAATTAAGATATTTTGTTTTAAAACGCCAGCAATTCAGTATTTAGTCATTGGGTGGGTTACGAGTCGGTTATCCGCCAAATAGAGATATTTTAAAAATATTTTTGGGATTATGTTTTATACGTATTTATAGATATATAAAACGAAAATCAACATTTTCAAATTATATTACTAGTAAATTTGGTCAATCGAATATTTAGTAAGTGGTCGGTTTTAAGCTCGGCAATCGGTCAAATCAAATTATTTTCAAAAAATTTTTTAGGATAATGCTTAGCACGTAAATATACACATATAAAACAAAAATTAAGATATTTTGATTTAAAACGCCTGCAATTCAGTATTTAGTCATTGGGTGGGCTACGAGTCGGTTATCCGCCAAATAGAGATATTTTAAAAATATTTTTTGGGATTATGTTTTATACGTATTTATAGATATATAAAACGAAAATCAACATTTTCAAATTATATTACTAGTAAATTTAGTCAATCGAATATTTAGTAAGTGGTCAGTTTTAAGCTCGGCAATCGGTCAAATCAAATTATTTTCAAAAAATTTTTTAGGATAATGCTTAGCACGTAAATATACACATATAAAACAAAAATTAAGATATTTTGATTTAAAACGCCTGCAATTCAGTATTTAGTCATTGGGTGGGCTACGAGTCGGTTATCCGCCAAATAGAGATATTTTAAAAATATTTTTTGGGATTATGTTTTATACGTATTTATAGATATATAAAACGAAAATCAACATTTTTCAAATTATATTACTAGTAAATTTGGCCAATCGAATATTTAGTAAGTGGTCGGTTTTGAGCTCGGCAATCGGTCAAATCAAATTATTTTCAAAAATTTTTTTAGGATAATGCTTAGCACGTAAATATACACATATAAAACAAAATATAAGATATTTTGATTTAAAACGCCAGCAATTCACTATTTAGTCATTGGGTCGGTTACGAGTCGGTTATCTGCCAAATAGCGATATTTTAAAAATATTTTTTGGGATTATGTTTTATACGTATTTATAGATATATAAAACGAAAATCAACATTTTTCAAATTGTATTACTAGTAAATTTGGTCAATCAAATATTTAGTAAGTGGTCGGTTTTAAGCTCGGCATTCGGTCAAATCATAATATTTTCCAAAAAATTTTTAGGATAATGATTAGCACGTAAATATACACATATAAAACAAAAATTAAGAGATTTTGATAAATAACGCCAGCAATATTTACCTTAGAAAATTTCCATTATTTTACTATTCTAAACCTACTCATAAATTAAACATCAAAGAAACCTAAATTTTTTTTTTAATTTTTAGGTTTTTCATATGTATATATACCCAAATATAAAAAAAGCGCTATCCAATCATCATTCCGGTTTCCTAAAATGATACTTACATATTTACACATATAACGCCCTCTTACGGATATATATTTGTTAATTTTTAAAATTGAAAAAAATTTATTTATGTTTTAATAAGCTATGAAAATATTTCTTTTATGATAATATTAACTCAAAATAAAATTATATATTATATGATATTTAATCAGTATCCTTCATTTAATAAAAAAATAATTTAAGTATATTTTAAAAAAAGTTTTAAAAATTTTCTTTACATAAAATAAATACATAATAAAAATTTGATCGATTATGATTAATTGCTTTTTAGCAATTCATTTTAGCAATTAAGTATTTAGTCATACCGATATCAAAAAAAATTAACCAATATTTATGCCGATTTCTTGGTGGACTAATTTACCATATTAAAAGGTATGTTGATTAGTAGCCAATATTATGTAACCTGGGAGAATTTGCGCATAGAAGAATGAAAGAAATAAAGAAAAAGAAAGATTTGGACCTCTATCTCTAAACTTACATATTATTTTGGCCAAAATCATAATCGACCGTTTTAAAAATAAGCCCAAATCGGCCCGACAACATAATGCGCAATTTTTTTATTTATTTATATTATAGGTATTGAAATTATAAATATACTAATTGAAAATAAAATTATAAATTTCCAGTGTCATTAAATATGAGAAATTTGACATTCCAATTGTCATGGATAAAAAAATTAACTGGCTTATCATGACTTTGACTTAAAAAATCAAAAAAAGAAACTAAAAAGATTTTGTCCGACTAGATTCATTGAAAGACAAAAGTAGGTTAAACTCTTTATTGAACTATATTGTTGTATTTGCAGCACTGGAATTTTATATATCAAGCTACGAAAAAGATTCAGCAGATCCTGAGAATTTTTTAATTTTTAATATCTATTCATTGTGTTTATTTTTTATTTAATTATACATATGATTTTAGCAAAATGCTTCAAAAAATTGATTTGGATTTAAGGGAGATTCTGAATAGAGCAAAGGATATTGTTAAAATATTAACAAATATTAGAGAGAATGTTGATAAAAATTTCATGAAATATGAGAAAGTAAAGGAGATTGCTAATATGTTATTGAAATTTTTAACCCTAGAGTAGTTTCTAGACAATCCAATTGCTCAAATATTATAGCATTTACGATTGAGGATTTTTATAAAATAAACATTTTTATTTATCTTATTGATACATTTTTATTTAAATTAAAGGAAAGATTTATTAGTCATATTTTTATTTTAAAAAGCATTTTTTTTCTTTTGCCGGTTGAGTCTAAACTGTTGATTACGCTAGGAAAATCTCAATATAGTAGGCTCATATGATAAGTTACTTTGTAATGTCTGATTTTCGTAATCATGACAGAATAGAGTTTTCTTGGAGACCAAAAAATGCTCTGCAGACCCTTTCCATGTGTAATTGCACTTTAGGTTCCCAATATCAAAACATTATTAATTATTTTAGCTACATTACCAATTAGTACCTGCACTAATGAAGGTTTCAACTTAAAAAGGTTAAAAACCTATTTAAGAAATACTACCGGTGAAAAATCTTTGGATTAGCCCTATTAAATATTTATATTCTAGATAAAAATTTGATTCTAGATGAATTAGCAAAATCTCAGAGAAAAGTAGACCTCTCTTTATAAATTCAAATCAAAATGTTAAACGACCGATTTGGGTCTATTTTTAAATACATAGCCAAAATAATATGTATACCTTATAATGTGATGAATTGTCCACTAAATTAATCGGTATATATAAGTATTGGTTGTTAATTTTTTTTAATACTATTAAATTTTATTGATATTACACATATAGTAAATAAATTAAAAAAATACAAAGAAATAATTAATAGGACTAACATTTAAAATGAATTCTATTTAATCATCCTTTTTTTTCATACTAATAAATTTTTAATAAATTGCAGCTGTATTAGATACGCGCCGAATTGACGCTGCGCCGAATTGATGTGATACCGGCTTAAATAGGATTTTAGCCGTTTTTAAAAATCGGATAAATCGAGGCTTCTAATAACACTTCTATCTCTGAATATATGTTCACCAGGAAGATAGTGCTGAATCATATATATGAATTATTATCACTATTTCGATTTATTTTAGATAACTAGATTATATTTAACAAAATCTGGAGTCTGAGATTGTGGGTCGTATCTCAGATGCCTAATCGATAATAGTGACAAATTTATATTTTGCGAAATCGAATTGTTATGGATTTTCGCTATCATAAATTCTTGGATTATCTAAAAATACATTTGAAAACAAAATCTTTAAAAAAAATTCATGTAAATGTTGATTGAAAATTTGACCAAGGTTCACGATGATTTTGGTGCAAATAAGAATATAAATAATAAAATAAGAAGGTAAGATCAAAACAATGTGGAAAATGCAAGATAAAACGTGATATTACATGTCCAAATGTATGGAATGGAACAAACCTGATGGAGTTAATATTTTATCATTATTTTATTAAATATCGTTTTTTATTTTTAATTTAATAATATTATATTAATAAAACTTCAAATAAGGTGTAAAAAAATTTTTAAATTGTATTATAGAAACCTTTAAATTAACGCTTTTGGCTGTTTTAGGTAGGACAAAAATTTGGTGCTTATAATGTTAATTTTGATATGTCTCGTAATTAAGATCAAGTTTTTGCTCTTTTAATTGATTTTAAATTATTCAAAACAGATTTAAAAATTTTAGCTCATTACGATAAACACAAATCACTGACATACGGAGTCGATTGGCTTAGATGGGAGGAATCCAAAGAAAACGATTCATTTATAATGGCAACATCATCTTTTTACGAGAATGATTTCCATTTATTGCGCGTCACATTGTGAATTATTTTATTATACCTCTTATAAAAACGATAAATATATTTATAAATAATTTTAATAAACTAGGAGATAAATAGTTTCTAGATATTTTTATAATCAAATTGTTTCCATTGTTAATATTTTTTCCCGGTAAATTTGTTAAAGTTATCGCTATCATTCATTATTAATGGTTGGGGTAAATGTTCATCAAGATTAGATCGATATTCAAGCGGGTTGTAGAATTCTTTTCGGGGCAACTTTTAAATAATATTTAATTTTTTAACTTAAAATTAATTTAAACATAACTAAAAAGGAGACCACAAACACAATAATTAAAATCTATTTATTCTTGTTACAGCTAGAAAAGAAATTAAGCGGTTTGACTTGGCCTCCCATTATTCAATTATATTTTTCTTATTTATATTACTTTGTTACAAATATCTTCGATATGATTGTAGTACTCGTGAAACGATTCATCTTCAAACATATCGTAAAGTAGCATGTCATCTCCTATTTTTGGCATATATATCTCCTCGCTGAGAGCTTGTTTCATCAGTAAAGTGTTATTATATGATGGTAAGACAATGAAGAATAGTTTTAGACCGTGTTTCCTTGTAAATATTATCATTAATTATTAATAAATTTTCTTTTTTAAATATGAAATTTGTCGGCTAAAAAAATTATTAAAAAATTTACAATAGATCTTGTCCTTTACATTGCCTATTAGAGTCACATTCATATTCTACCACCATAGCATTGTTCTAAAATTAAATTTAAAACATTACCATTTTTAAAATCACTTTTCTCCTCAGATATTGGCATAGAGCTGCAAATGCTTTTCTATTGTTTTCTAACTCATTCCAATCTAATTTCCAGTTGTAAGTTGGAAAGATTGTAAACGACTTTTGGTGAAATAGTTTAAAACATAAGTATAATGAAAATAATTTACATCCCCGAATATCACAGATTCACACAATCCTCCCTGATTAATTAAAGCCACCATTTTAAACATTTGTATATCATTTTCGGGGCAAATCGATTTTGCATTCTTTATGTTGGGCATGTTAAATTTCATATTGGATGATCTAGCATATAGTTTTTTGGATAATGGCTTTTGGTCAAGTAATTTATTCTGGTAATTATTTATTAAAGTTAAATTATTCATGAATTACTCTTGAATTTGGTTTACATAATTTTTATGTTGATTAGACATAAGTCCCTTAGTTCGTTCTTTTAAGGTTTATAGAGTGACACTATTTTATTACTAATCCACTCACTTAACTAACATATATTTTTTTGTCTTTTGTGATATAAAATTATAGTTTAATTTTATTGGAAAATGCACATTATATTTGTGATCTATAAACGTTAAGTGCTTTCTCTGCAAATTGAACTTATGAATAAAATTTAAGAAAACGTAAGGATAAAATAAAAATGTTTTATTTTCTGGAATAATGTATATGGGAAGAATTTCCCTTGCTCCATCATATTTGATTTAAATTAAATTATTCAACCTGCTAAATAAGAATAGCATCCATAGTCTCATGTTGCATTAAAATTATTTTATAAAGAAACTGGTATTCCATATATTTGATTTAACAAACCATTCAAAGATAGAGGAATAATCAAATTAAGAACGAATTATAATTATTTAGAGGCATCCATCAAAAAACAATATCCTTCGGTAAAACTAGGGGTGTACCGATACCACTTTTTGGAGGCCGATCCGATCCGATATTTCAGATATTAAATTGATATCGGCCGATAACCGATCCGATATCATATCTAATTTTGTATTCCGCAAAGATACCGGTTTTAATTTTTAATATACTTTTTATTAGTACAACATCTATAATTTTACTATACCATAACATATGTCATTTAAATATATTATAATGGTCAGTTATAGTTTATATTCAATTCAATTGCTATTATTTATATAAGAAGTAATAACATTAATCTATTTACATAATTAGTAATAAAAAAATATATTATGAAATTTGAAATTATTATTTAAAATTAATATATCGAAGATTTCTTTTTATATCAGAGATATGTCGGCGGTGATGGGGACTGTTAATATCACTAGCATCACTAAAAACAGATACTGAAGAGATTAATGAACACTTTTTTAAACAGAATGCGAAAAAAAATAACTATATTGCAGAATGTTTATTAACTAATTATTTCTATTTAAAAAATTAAACATAAAAATGTATTTCGATTTTATTTATAAAAATAAATGGTTTTTTAGATATAACTTTTTTTAAATTTTGTTAAAAGCGCCATTTTATATCGGATCGGAAAATTTTATAATATTTGCCGATAACCGATATTTTAAAATGAGCGAAATATCGATCCGATATAAAATATCGGTACATCCCTAGTTAAAACCTAAAAAAAGGAAAGAAATAGAAAAACAAAAGTAATTACAAGTCATAATTTTACAGTGGAACAAGTTGCATTAGTTAACAAAAAAGTATGTTTACAAATTCCGGAGGCCGCCATCCCCACGGGTAAGTTGTAAAGGTTGATCAATTCAAATTTTGGCAAAAATTTTTAAATATATTTGTAAGAAACAAATGCAAATAATTGGCCCCAATTAGTGTTGTTAAAAGGCTCGTTTTGAGCCGATTTTTAAAAACGGCGAACTCAATAATTTAGCCAGAAAAGTATTGCCCGAGATTTCGCTAATTTATGTCTAGACCTTTGTGCCATCTATGAGCAAAATCTTCATGCTTGCGTAATATTATTCTGGATAAAATATTGAGTTAGCCGTTTAAAAATCGACTCAAATTGAGCCATTTAACAATACTAGCCTCAATCTGGGGTCGGGCAGTAATGAAACATATTTCATTAGTAAAAGTTACATTGTGAATTACATTTTTAGAATGCCGTAAATTTTTTTAAATAGTTAAAAATTAAAATATATTTTGTAACAAATATCAAAATAAATTAAATGATTTAATCACGGGTACGCGTGCTGGATCGTATAGTTTAAATTATCAATTATTCTATTTAACTATTGTAATCATTTACAAAATACAGCAAATTAGTAAGAAGTACCAATTGAAAAAACTCGGCCCTGTCGTAAATTTATTGTGGGGTCGATCCGGAAATTTAGGACATCTGTAGGTTTCCAATTAAAATATTAAAGTGAATAATTGGTAATTATTTCGATTACTTTTTTCCCAATCTGTAAACCAAATGTATTGAATACGTAAATCATATAAGAACAACCTCAATGAAGTAAATAAGAGTAATTTAAATATGAAATCGCTAAGTCCCCCGATATTTCAATAATAGTAGAATATTTTTCTTATCAAAAAACTGCTTTGCAGTCAACATCTTAAGCAAAAAAAATTAAATTGTTTGTAAGCGATCCTTCCTTTTATATTGTATCTATAAATTAAGGAAACATCTTTATTTTAATTTCCATATCCGCTCAATTTATTTTATTTTGCAGGTTTAATTAATTAACCGAGCAATAAAATCGAGACATTTTTAAGCGAACCAGAAGAATTTCTTCTCTGACAGAAAAGGGAGATAGAAACTCTCAAATACAATTATGATTCCATCTTGGAAACTCAGTTTAAAAATAGTTGACCCTTATATTTTATTTGTTTATAAATATATTTTATATTATTCTAATTTCTCTTAAATTAAATTTATTTATTTAAGTAGTCTACAATAGGAATTATTAGTGCTGTAGTCCTAAAATTTGCGGCGAGTGCATAATATTACTCTAAATAAAATAGTAGGCTGGCATGGCTGAATTTTTGAAATGCATGTACATGGCCTCAGTTATTCCAAACTGACTTAACAGTATGTAGACTGCTAGACACCCATCGTACATCAAGTACCCTACCAATCTTCTGAAACTGAATGTCAATTCAGACGCTATTTGATTTAATGCCTTTTGATTTTTGTTAAACTTGCTATATAAACTATATTTTATTTCAATAAAGGCAAAGGGGTGGCATGTCATCGCGTCGCTTATTTTACAAACATATTTAACGCCTATATCACTTTTTATTGTATTGGAAATCATTTTTATACAATACCAGGGTAGGATCGTCGTATATAGTTTTTAATAATCAATTAAAATAGGGAAGGGTTAGTTTTTGAATTAAAAATGTACATTTACATTATTATACTACCATTTTGTTTATAAAATATTTTATAATGTTTATTTCATAGTAAAAGATATCAATATGATAAGATACCATTATAAAAAATATTTGGATATTTTGGAAGGAGATCGCCGTGCCTCCTACATTTTTTGAAAATTTCTAGCGGCGACATGTTAAATTTTTTTGTAAAATCGGCGGGCACCATTTAAAAAGTTTTATTTTACAATTTACAAAGCATTGAAGTTGCGTAACTTAACGCATGTATTTTGATTTAATATATAATTTAGCCATAGTACTTTTATCTATTTTTTGAATATTAAAAATATAGCCAAATACATTGGTTATAGAATTTCTTGTTTGTCCACCCTTTATGTGAACCTTACGAAGAAAACAGAATATTATTTACAATTATGTACATATATTTCATTGTGTAAAGTATTTTCCAATTTTAGCATGTTATTATGATAATCACATTTCAAAATTAAGCCTGCTTGATCTAATGAAATTAAAATATATCGGGTAATATTATAACATATTTACCTTCTTTCAGGAGTCTTATATATACATATTCTTTTTCACTTCCCAAAAAGTTATGCAACCATTGTTTGAAATGATTTCTTAAACATACGGAATCTAATATTTATATAAAATATTTATGATTTAATTATAATATAATCGTATAAAATAAGATTGAGGGGAAAGTAGCGTTACTTTCTCGTTAGTTTTAGATATCGTTGCTTGATTATAATAGGATCCTATCATTCAGGTAAATTTTTCGGGAGAGTGATTTAAAGAAAACACCATGCTCTTTGGCGAAAACTAAGAAATTTAGACAAATTATTTTTTTATTATTTTAGATATATCTAAACTATAACATCCAATTTTTAGAAATTTATTTTTATACTATTACTTTTTTTGAAAACTGCCTAAGTATAATTTAATCAC